GGAAAGAGAAGACAAAAGGAAGATGTTAACAAGGGGGGCAGCTAATAAGCTTAACTCTTGTAATAGAGGTCATGGGTGAATTTATTGCTTGCAGAGCACTGACAGGCTAGAAGGGAAGACACTAGCTTACCATAAAACCATTAACTCTGAAGAATACTTGGGGTTTGTTGTTTGGGTTTGTTGTTGTTGGTTTGTTGTTTGTTTTTTGTTTGGTTTGGTTTTTGTTGGGGTTTTTTTGGGGGGTTTTGTTTGTTTGTTTGTTTTTTTAAGTAGTTTGTTTTGGGGGGGGGGTTAAGTACCCAGTACAGAGAGGAGCTTTCATACCGAGGCTTTAATACTATCCTACAGAAACATATGGAGTTAAATGAACAGATATAATTTGCAGAAAATAAACAGGAAATGAAACAATGGCAAAGATAAGATACCTCCAGAAAGCCTATCAGGAGTCCTCGCCAGAACAATGGGGAAGGCTATTAATTAGGAAACCCCCACGCCTGTCTCCAGCTGAGCTGGGAGTTTTAGTTCCCAACTCATCACAGGGATGTGGTCAGACAATGACTCAGTCTAACAGCTCCCTGCTGCCCAAAGAGCTATTCCTGCTCCTTCTCCTGCAGTCGCTGCTCATCTGACCTCTCAGGGAGCTGATTCAGTTTGCTAAATTGGCAGAAAACTAGTCAAACACGGGGAAAAAAAATAAAGAAATCTGTCTGCTTAGTAAGACAAAGCAAGCGCAAGATATCAGCCAGCCACCAGCACTGACGCAAAATGCATTTGGGGAGCAAAGAGAGGGAAGGGGAGAGCTGCGGCCTAGGGGCAGGCCAAGACGCCCCTTTTGCACAGCGACAAGTATTCAGCTCAGCCATCTCTCATATCTGCGATTTCATAGTTGCTAAGTTGACATAAACATAGCTTCCAGGTTAAAAAAAGTCCTGCTTTTTGGCCCAGCCATGCACTTCTGACAGCCCTTGAGTATCAAACCGAAGAATAGTTGTTCCATAACACATTAAAGAGCCTTGGGAGCTCTAGGGACAGCAGGGAGGTAGCGGGAAGGGGAGGCTGGACAGATCACCTTTAGACATCTGCCCCAAACCAACGTGCAGTCGTGGAACCAGCACCAGAAGCAGCACAAGAATGATTAAAAGTCTCTATTTGGAACAGGAATGGGATGAACAATCAGTGCAATGTACTAAATGCTGGTGAGGTTCCTCCCACATCCTAAGAGCGAGAGCTCTGTACAGGATGGATATATTGGAGAAAAAAAAAAAGATACTAAAAAATAGGAATGAACAGACACAAGACAAAATAAACTTAAAGATTTACTGGTATAGCCTCTAAAGTATTGCTGTCCTCTTCAGGGAGGGTAAAAAGTAAAGGTCTGTAAAAATCTAGCTTAGCTAAGCTGAACTGTGAAACAGTTTGAAACAGTCAGAACAGCTACAGCTACAGTCAGATTTTAGACATACCCTACTGACATGAAATACATATCCTCAGAAATCAGATCAACTTAACCATGAGCTGAAAATTTCTGTTGAAAGGCAAGATGCAAGAAACACCACTGTAAGAAACACACAAACCCAGAGTGTAATTTAAGTAGTTTGATGTACTGTTTTCACAGCAGTTTAACAGCAACACACTCCAGCAGAGACGTCACAGCTTTTTAAAGACGTCTGACACGCCAACCTCCAAATTCCTTTTTCCTGTCAGTTGCGATGCCTTTCCTCCCCAGCAAAGAAATGCAGGACTGCTACCGTTCAACCATTCTAAAATAAGATGACAGGTTTCTTTTAAAAAATCAGCTGTAACTACATTGAAATAATTGTATCAATAATTGGTCAGTTCTCATCTCTTTGGAATCTCACAATGCTGTTTGTTATTTCAGTATAAATATTAATCTACTTAAAGAGACACTACAAAAGTTTATATTGTTTTATCTCACAGCCCAGTATGTAAAATTAAAGTTGGGGTGAGGGAAATGCATTAACTCTAGGTCGTTAAGGACAGCCAAGTGAAATATAACATGCACTGATTGTAAAAAAATCATAGTGACGAATGTCTGCTTTCCATACAACCCAACAGGACTCAAAATGTAAGACTACATAATTTTTGTCATCTGAAGCTTGTATTTGAAGCCAGATTTAATGCATTTATAACAGAGACACGCCTCTTTAATCAGAAGTTATGCAAGAAATTCTGCAGGCTACGTTCGACAGGTCAGATCCGACAATAGTCCCATTGTGGGTGCTGAAAGAGATTAGTGCAAAGCACAGGTCTAATAACAAAACTCACTTCCTACATTTCCATACCAGAACTGCTTATTTATGAAGAGGTATGGCCTTGTGCATGGACTTAAATACTCCACATGACACTGAGGATTACACAAAGCAATTCCTTTTCCCTGTAATGCCTTCCCTAAAGCCATACAGTGTTTTGAGTGAGCATTCTTTACTCCGGCTTCAGAGCGAGCAATAGTCAAGAAATACTACCGTGTCAATGGCAAGATGGCACAACTGGATGTATTTTATGAAATTAGACCAGCAAAGGCAAAACCCAAGTACTTTAACCCATATGATTAAGTTCCACTGAAAGGTCGACACGGTGACCTTACACACTTTCTAGCTGTAAAGTTACTCCTTAGCCAAAGATTTCTTAAACTCTTACCCTAGAGAATGTGGGACAGGGAGAGCCACGCTGTACAGTCAGCTCCGACCAAAAGAGAACCAGGTTATAGACATTTACAACTTTTTTGTGGTTCGGCAAACGAGCTTCTTCATGTTTTCTTACGACATCATTAAAAAACCCAAAATAAAACAGAAGCCCCAAGAACCCAGGCTGTGGCACCATTTCTTAACGCGAGCCTGCTCCTACACGCAGCTTCTTTAGGGCCACATTGGCTTTCTCCATCTTCAGCTGTACTACGTTATTTAAACAATCACTCCTGCGTCCTTTTCTCTAAGGAATTTCAATCATCATTCCCGAATTTTTCCCTTAATATCTTGATACTGATTATATAATAAGAAACAAGAGTCAATGTTACATACAGAAATGACGTTAAAGCGGTGCAAAAAACCTGTTACTTTCCCACAGCACACTTGCACGTGCAGCTTTATTTCATATCACCCTTTTCTCCCAACCTGAGAAAAAACAAAAGCACTGAAACCACGTGCTGTTTACGTGCCACCATTTAACTCATAACTGTTTCCCAGGTTTCTCATGGGACTCTTGAAATGCATTTCGAATTCCTTCTCCTGAGGCAAGGCCTCCCTCCCCCTAAATTCAGGTTTTATTAACTGTGTCAGTTTTCTGATTATTCCTCCCCCTCCCCACCATGTCTTACAAGCCAAGCCTGATCTCAACCACCACCCTCCATAGCTCTGCGTGTCACAGTCCCTAACCTTGGCGCTGCTCCTGGGCTCTTCTCCACTCCCTTCACCTCAGCACCTTCCAATCCCTTCCACCCCCCCACCTCCGTGGGGAAACCAGCTGCAACGCACGTGCCTTCAGCCTCCAGCTTTCATGACAAGCACCAGCTAGAAAGCAAGCACTGCCTAGAAAGCTGCATGCTTACTCCAAACAGATATGGATTAAATTCTCTCCATCTTTCCTTCCACTTGGACATTAAGAAGGATTCTCTCTTCCCTCCAGCCACTGAATTTTTATAAGGCTTGCAAGAATGTTGATATTGTGACTATTGCACCAAGTTTGCCTGAAATCAGGCTTAAGAATTATTTAGGGAGAAAAGAGTTCAACAATCAGAGAGCTGTCCATTCACTGAGGAACAGGGCTGGGGCTTGGGGCAGGAAGGAGATGATCTTCATCTTTCTGAAACTCATGGTACCTTTATCGGTACAATGAGAACAAAAGGAGGGCAGGGGGTGTGTGAAGTAAAACCAACCTAAAATGCAGAGGATTCCGTCAGGTTGAGATTTGCTGCTCTGTGTCAGGATACTCTGAATGTTTCGAAGGCGGCTGCAGCTGCAAAAGAGAAAGAGAATTTGTCCTCAAGGTCAGTGTTTTGAAGTGCTCAAATTTGTCAGGCTAAAGAATTAGACATAGCTTTTTTTTTTCTTTTCTTTATTATATAAACTAGTTGGACACACTTCAACTTGGGTATCTTTTGTCTGAAATGCACTTAGACCTCACACCAAACCATCCTCAGATTATTTACTTCTGTCCACTAAAAGATGAAGTACACAGCCCTGAGAGAAAACTAGACCCCCTAACGATCCCTTCCAACCAAGTGCCCTGTTCGTCACTAACCTCTAGCAAAAAATTTCGGTTCAAATTTCCTCTCACCAAGCCAGCGACACTCCTTCCTCTACCACAGCAACAGAGAGCAAAGCAACGTGGGGCAGGTGATGCCCAAGCAGAAAGCTGACAAGGGAAGGGACCGCAGTAGCTCCTACACCCCAAGAGGAGTTTGCAAAAGATGAATTTGGGCACCTCCAGCACCATCAGCACCTCCAGCACCATCAGACCGCTTCCACCCTGTGTAACCACACCGTACGGACACAGCCCAGAGCCGACAAGATCAAAGTGAAAAGCGTGACACTCTTGTAGGGGAGCAGGGGGACGGGCACAGCGAACTCTGCCTCCATTCACAAACCTGCGGCGTCTCGTCCATGTCCTTGGTTAACAAAGCACCAGTGTCATGCTATCTGCGGTGTCCCAGTGCTTACCAGTACCACAAAGACTCAAACGGGTCCCCCTGTCATTATTACAAGCACATACATAAGCGGCAATGCAGAACTGAGGGAGATTCCAGACAGAAAAGAGAAAGTCATTTCAGTGCGTGCTCCAAGACCAGGGCATTTTCTCTTAGTATTGAAGCTTCAGGCGGTACAGTTCTTCCTTGCATCTCACATTAGTCTCTAGCATTTTATTTAGTCCATAATGGAAAAATACAGAGCCAAGGCTCTCACTTAATGTAACAACAGCTGAACTTCAGAAGGGTGTCACTTTTTAAGAAAGATTTATTTTTTTTCTGCAAGACAACTTAAACTGAACTGACACTAGTGGGCTTCCAGTCAGAAAGTAAACCACAGCTCAGAACAACTCTAAATGAATAATACTTAATTCAATCACACAAGCAGGAACTCTTTCCTCTCTATACCCAAAGAAAGACCTAGATCATTTTCATAAGAGGCATGTTACCTCCCTCATGACTTCTGTATTAAAACCATGAAACTTTTCTAAAATGAGCAGTTCAGGAAAATCATAAGCCCAAAGTATAATCTTTGATAATCTATACTAAAAAGAAATGAAACAATACCAAGTCTCTCCAAGATTTTCATAACCATAATGAACTGTTTAGTATATAAAGTTTAATTTAGTTGGCCAATATGCAACTTTATGCCAGGCAAAAAATTCAGCTACCACAGCCAGGCAGAGAGCAACATAATCTGTGCTTCTAGGCAACATGTTGTGAGCTTGTTTTAGTACAGATAAAAGGCAAGAAATTTCACTGCTGCTGTCACTGAATGCGTTTTCTTGTTTATAGTCTTGTTGATATAACTATGAGCTGTTCAGCTCTAGGAAAACAAATGTCTCTTAGAGAAACACTTAAACAGAGCTACATTTATGATCACCTCAAACAAACAAGGAAGGTCAAGTATTCCTATTTTCATAGTTACTTAAGCCAAGTAAAAAGCAAATGGATCTTTTGAGTAATACTACAATCATCACGCTCTACTTTCTCTCAAAGACAGAATGAGCATGGAAGGTTCCCGTTATAGCTAACCTAAGTGCAATTTGAACGTCCACAGTAAGGACAGACAACAGCTGAAGATATTTCACAGGAAGGACAAAGCCAGTGCAAACCACTCTGGTTTTATTTTTTCCCATTTATAGGTGGCCTATTTGAGTTCCGAATCCCTCAATTATTCATTTTGCCTGAAACATCCCAATTCACATTATATGCTGTACTGTATCACAGTCCACCGCATGTATGAAGAGATATTTTGATCCAGTCTTAGATAAAGAAACAGAAATTAAAGCCCTTGATGACAGCAAGACGACACCTCATCAGGTACTTTCAGATGTTGCTGCCCACGCAGGTGATGCTACGAAGTCCGTGAAAGAAACATTGAACTTTATGCTGCACATTTCAGCAACTTCTGATTATTAGTTCTTTAAAACCTAACCTAAAATTGAATCTTACAGCTACCCAAGCTTAAGGTTTTGTACCTTATTCTGGCAAATTCTTGTCCCATCATTAAACAGGACTCCAGACTAGCTAGGTGAGAGGTGATCCACTACAGCAAGCTACACAGCGCTCGTATTTTCATACTTCCCACGTCGTAAGACCAAGAGCTGGAAAGGCTGCTGGACTCCTCACTGTGGGTACAAACAACTCTGACTTATTCCATTTGTTAGTAGGCAAACGCGCCTGCGGTTGTTTAAGGACCAGCTGCAGGCAAATGGAATTGCTTCGGTAAAACACAAGCAAATGGAAGCAACGGGAGTAGCATTATGAGCCTGTGCAACGAGCCCAGAGCAGAGCAAAGCAAAACACACCGAGTTTTCGTCATCTTGAGCCCCGTGAAAGTGTTTTCTGATCTGTTCAAGCCAACTGCGGTGGGGGGAAAAATAGGAAGAGGAATCAGGGGAGGAAAGTACTCACGTTTGTTCTGGGTTGGGTATTTCTTTCCCTCCTTAAGTGTTGATTTGAGGTTAGGAATTTTACTCTCCTAGAATTACTTTCAGTAGCCTTCACAGAAATTACAACTTTGATGCACCCCTTAAAAATATATAAAGTTCCCCGCTTAAGTTGCTCGGAAAATTCTGCCAAGCCAAGTTGAATGTCAGTGCCACACTTCCTTCAGGAGACAGCCCTGACATAAAAGGAAAAAGCGTAGGGCAAATTACATCTTCATTATTTCGTAATGAGATGTACAACCATAAAGATGTTTATTTCAATCAACAGCCTTCAGCAGAAGATTTTTTCCCTCGCCTCATTTAAATAAGTGGTTTCTGTGAAAGAAATCTTTGAAAAAGCTTCTTCACAGAAATATTTTCAACGTCATTTCAAGTGCGTATAAATTGTTACATTCAATTGACATTAAAACCAAGAGACTTCTCTGTCTGAAGAAAGACGTTATTCAGAAATAGTGAAGAGAATAATTAGAATTCTTACTACATGCTTTTAAACAATACAGGCTAAACTGTGTGTAAAGGCAGAGGGGAAAAAAAAAAAAAAAAAAGGCATTTTCTTGCATTTCACATTGAACAGTCATCTGACAAAAACAAAGGAACTGTCCTGGGAACAAAACCCCATGACTTTTCCCGCCTCCAAAGCGGGCGCCCTAGCAAGCGTACTGACTTCTTACTCCTTTTCATTTTACCACAGCAACACAGTTTCAAGCAGAAACAACAAAGAATGACCACCTCACAACAGCACAACCCTCTGGGCTTCAGGACACCTTCCTGGAAGAGGTGGCTCTGAATCCACCCACACATATAACCACAACTGAATTTTACAGTAGCTTTGCTGCTGAAAAGTCAGCACTAGGGGTGTTCAAAAACACAACACGCAGCCCTTCTAAAGAAGCCCCAAACTCCTGGACTTCAGTCAGACTTGGACAAGATAGGAGCTGCAAGCTGCTTTTCCAACGAGACAACCACAGACAACCAGGCTGCTTCATCTGACTGCTGATGAAGGCAGGTCAGGAGGCAAAGCCACATTTTGGGGCGGCATCTGGCAATAAAGCGTGCTTGGGCCAATTAAGAAACGACGTTGAGGTACTTGATACTCCGCTAATCTTGGACTAGATCCAAAAAAGGGGAAGATAATTGACAACCATTAACTTCTAAGAAATGTGAACAGATGAGCACTAAGTCTTCATACTAATTATGCAAAGTACCTTGCTTTCCAACAGTCTAGCCTGTCACAACTTGGTAACAGACACGGCGCTGCAAGCCATGTATGTTGGCAAATAAAGAGAATATTAACAACTGTGCCTTTCTCCATCGGAAAGAACAAATAAGTGTGGTTTAAACAACGCCACACAGTATTCTAATTTTCATTTTATTTATGTTTCCACAACACGTTACTTTTTTCTGCATCCCTTGCTGCCAGCTGAATTTATCCCGCGTGCGAGCTCCCTTTGCTCGATGCCGTAATCCACGGCAGCGCTATTAGCATCGATCCCTGATTGATTCCCGGTCGATTCCCACAGGCTGGCTCCCCATACGGCTGGGATGGCCGCAGCTGGGGTTAACGTGCAATTGGGCTGACAAAGGATGTGATTTCACTGCATTTGAGTGTGTTTTGCTTCATCTTGGCAGATGTTATGCTCCTCCCCCACAAAGGCTAGGCAGCCTTCAAAACCCACACGTGGTAAAGCTTTGATAGAGAGCAGCGAACAAGGGGGGGGAAAAAAATTGGAGACGCCCCTGGCAAGCTTGTGCAAATTCTCACACGAAGGAGGTTCATCTTCAGGGAACGGGTCGAACAGATTCATGCTGTCTACCTAAGGTGGACACTGGTTTTGACATTAACTACTTGATTTAATAAATAAATAAACAAAATGGAAAGGTAAAACAGGGTTGTTTTTTTTTTTTCCAAATCTCATTTCTCATTAACTTGCTGCTACTACCATCTGTTTCCACTCTCCCTCCAAAAAAAATCAAGCTTATCCTTCATGGGCCTTTTGTTGATCTCAATTTCTACCAGAAACGTTATTATTTTTTGCTTATATTAGACTACAGGATTTCCCACAGTCTGACATTATCACCATCTTAACATATTTGTGAAATCAGAAACCAGAAGTCAGACTCAGCTAAAGAATTTCACTCATTTCAAATGCAGATTATTTGAAATTTACCGTCTATCTCGAACAATAACGTGCTTTCTCAGTTCTATTTTTTCTTAGCTCACCCAAATAAGTAACTCTGGTTTACCGCTTGGCACTCACAAAAGACAATGGCATTCATCCACCTTAAAACACATGACAATTTTCCAGCTGTTTTCAGAA